TGGAGATCAAATCTGGGGCCTTGTGCCTGGTAGGCAAATGCTCTACCACTGAACTACTTTCCCACCCACAAGTTATGTTTTATTGACCTTCATTTACTCAGAAGGAAACATGCTCAGAGAAGTCAAGCCACTTGCTTGAGACCACACAACCAGTGAGGTGGTCACCTAGCTGCAATGTCCATGCTCTATCTGGATACCCAGTAACTGTCCAACTAATTGATAGAGGGACCATCAAGATCCTAGTACTGAGTGAGGTGCTTATACCCATGAGCTCAGTGCATCCTTGCTGCAACCCAGTGAAGCTCAGAGAGGTAGAGTGACTTGCCTAAAGTCACACAGTACATAAGTGGAGTTAGGTTGACCACCACTCAGAGCTGTCTTTTGGGGGGACAGTGATGCTGACCTCGTGAGATTTAGGGACCATATAGGAATGTCCTTTCTTTGTGAGTGTGTGGTACTGGGGTTTGAACTCAGAGCTTCACATTTTGCTAGGCAGGTGCTCTACCACTTGAGCCACTCCTCCAGCCCAAGAATGTCTTTTCTTAGTACAAGTGTGAGTGTGAAACACATTTGTTTTATTTAAAAAAAAAAAAAAACCCTCAGCCCAGCATGGTCAGGGCTATAGCTCTATTTTACCCATTCCTGAGTCTTCACCTGTAACATGGGGGTGTGAAGCCCCTGCTTCCCAAGGCTATAGTGGGATGAAGCGGGTGTTGGTTTTAGCAGAGGGTCTGGTGGGTCCTCATACTTGGGAAACGCCAGTGACTGCCAGTCATTTTTTTCTCCTCTGAATACCCTCAGCTCTAGCCAGAGTGGTCTCTTCAATACCCCTGAGATGTGTCCAGAGCAACCTTGCTGCACAGCTTTGCTTGAGCTGTTGTCTCCTCTCCTTCTGCATCCCTGATTCCTTTCCTCCCAGCCCCCTCAACCCCCGGGCTCCACAGACCACTCCCTGCCAACTCCTCCAGCCCGAAGTGCACTTCAGCTTTGATTCCTCCTCTTGCTAAGGGTCTGGCTCTGGGTGTGGCATGAGTAGGATAGCTGCCTGGGGTGGGTAATGCTCTCTCTCCCTCCGCCTATTGCCTCAAAGTTTGTCCCTGACTCCTGTGAGCCAGGCATTAACTCTTTAGCTGCTGGACGTTGGGGATCTTTAGGGGTTCAAGGTAGGCAGGGTGGTAGAGGATCATTCAGGGTCAGCTGGTTGCCAACTAGTTTGGGGGGTGTTCATGTTCTAGCACTTAGTATGACTGCGCTGCTGCAGCCCTACTGGAGCTCCGGTGCACTAGTCAAGCTAGCCCCATTCCTTGGGCATCCTTGGGACTCCTTTCTGGCCAGCCTCTGCTCTCTAGGCCCTGGCTTCTTTTAGGTCAGCCCAGAGGCCCCAGAGAGCTGGTGCCAACAGAGCTCTGAACCCCAGGTCTGATTAATGATGAGTAGGCTCCAGTGAAACTCAAGTGAGCAGCGATTCCAGGCAATTAATTAGGAGGCCCAGGAGAAGGGTTGTCACAGGGGACTGCTCTGTCCTTCTCAAGGTCCAGTCTTGTGCCAAATGGTGGGCATAATGGGAGAGAAGAGACTGTGCCTCTTGGGACTCCCACTCTGGTGGGAGAGATCAATGTGCAGGCCACCCTGACCAGCTCAGTGACAATAGTGTAAAAGTGACATGTGGGAGTCCAGGGGACTGAGAGATGGGGAAAACCTGAGGACACAGTGGATGAATAATGACAATAATACAAACTGCCATTTAGTGACCACTTACTCTAGTCAGTCACTGTTCCAATTGTCTTCTCTCATTTAACCCTCTAGACATCCTAATGTTTCCATTCCATCTCAATAATTTCCATTTTGCAGGTGGAAACTGAGGCTCCTGGGGGTTAAGTACTTTCCAAGGTTGGCCAGCAAGTGAGTAATAGAGCCAGGATGCCACCTCAGGTCCATTTGACTTCAGAGCCCCTGCTATTCATTGCCACCTACACTGCCCACATGTCTATCCAGCAGCCAAGAGGAACAGGTTCAAATCCAGCTCTGCCATCTGTTTCCTTCCTGAGACTTGGCTTCTTGTCTGGAAAGGGGAGATCGTGATACCTGCTTTTCAGGACTGTTGTGATGTTTAGAAATGCTGCATGTTGGACCTGGCAAACAGGTTGCCTGATACATGGTAGTTAGTATTATTATTCCAGGCAGAGACTATATGCTGGGAATCCTGAAGGCTCAGGGGTGATCGGTTGTGGCAGAATTACCCCCACTAGGAGATCCTGGTGGTGGCAGCAGGCAGCTTGTGAAGCATCTCAAATGCTAAAGGCATTGGACTTGGTGTGTGTGTGTGTGTGTGCGTGTGTGTGCGTGCTGGGGGAGGGTGGTGATGGGAGGCACTGATGGTCTTTGAGTAGGGGAGTCCCAGCCATGTGCCAGGCATTGTACAGATTCCTGAGAGCTGGGCACTAGGTAGAGGTTGGCAGTTCATATCTGAATGATAGAAACGAGGAACACGGGACATAATTACTTCCTGAAGGTGTCATCAAAGGAAAAGCCCAGGAGACTCGGCAGCAGATGTGCCCTGACTCAGCCTGGGTCGTAGAAGGACTCCTTAGGAAAGCATCATGTAAACTGAGTCCCAAGGAGGAGTGGGAGGCAGCAGAAGGAGCGTGGGGTAGCATCCAGAAGGAGGGCTACACGGTGGGCCTGGAGGGAGGCCTGTGTGTGATGGAAGCGAGGGGGTGGCCTGCTGGGCTGGGAATGTGGCAGTGGAGACTTGTGTTTGGAAAGAGCTTTCAGAGGCAGTGTAGGGACAGACCAGAGAAGGAAAGAGGTAGAAAAGAGCAGTGCGGAAGCAAAAGCTGGATCCAAGGCAGGGTAAGTTTATGGCATAGAGGAACAAGAGAGGCTTCCTGGAGGAGGCGTCAGTCTGGAAAAGCTGACGACTGAGGCCACCAGTCTTTGAGTACTGGGGCCCAGGGACCCAGACCATCCCACAGACCGAGCACAAAACGCCTCCATCGCATCGCCTCAGAAGCTCCTGCACGTGGCAGCTGCCGCCCTCTGCCCAGGAGAGCTCAGGCTGTCCCTGGCCCCTGGCAGATGTTCATTTGCATTCGTTTGCATAATGTTCCCCGCCCCTCTGGGCCCCAGATGCCTCAACCAGCTCTGCTCCCCCTGCCGGTCACAGACGTCACCGCAGTCCAATGTCACCGCCCCCCCCCCCCCCCCCCGGCCCCGGCCCCGGCCCCAGCACAGCATCCCCTATTGGTCATTGAGGGCGCGCGACCCTAGGTCCTGGTGTTCCCGAGCGACTGCACTAACCCGGTATTGACCCCCAAACCTGTGCCCCAGGTACGAGCGCCTAAACCCTCGTTGTAGGCCCTTTGCCATCTGGGATTTGATGTCCTCCAACATCTCTCTTGACTCCCTGCACCCTCAAATTTTTGGCGCCCACTCGGAGCTTTCATGCTGCGATGCCTTTGTTCATGCAGCTCCCTCTGCCAGCGGTTCCTTCCCCACCCGGCCCTCGGTGACTCTCGGCGACCCCCTCTCCACTCGCCCGGCGGCTGAAGCGTGCCTGGGGCGTCTTGGAGAGGGGGGATTCTAGCGGGTTTGTCTCATTCCCTGCCATCCCCTCCCTCTCGCCCCCCAGGCCATTTACAAGATGGTTTCGTCCGTGATGAAGATGCCGGAGGACGAGTCGACCCCGGAGAAGAGGACTGAGAAAATCTTCCGCCAAATGGACACGAATAACGACGGTGAGAGGGGTGGACAGGGCGGCAGGGCGGCGGCACACCCTCCTTCCCTCTCCCGCTCCACCTCCCTGCGCTTGGCAGCCACCTTTTTCCCTATCACAGCTCCCCTCGCCCCGCAGGCAAGCTGTCCCTGGAGGAGTTCATCCGCGGGGCCAAAAGCGACCCGTCCATCGTGCGCCTGCTGCAGTGTGACCCCAGCAGCGCCTCCCAGTTCTGAGCAAGAGGAGCCTGGCCCTTCCTCCCCGCCTTCGCCGGCGCTCCCGGCTCTCAGCTTCCTCTCCCTTGTGTCTATCCAGGCTGGGGGCCAAACTGGGGATTCCCCTTCCCGGGTCTGCACCGTGTTGGGGGGGTCTCTGGAGAAGGGAACCCTGCAAGCAAGGGGCCCAAGCAAGCAAGCCAGCCAGCCAGCCAGCCGTCAGCATCCCACAGACCTAGAGGCAGTGTCTCTCCCCTGAGCAAGACCAGGCTCTGTCTTGGTCTGCCCTGAGTCAGCCACCTTACCCAGCCAGCCGGATCACCTCCCACCCAGCCACAGCTCTGAGACCCTTCCCCACCAGGGGGAAGGCTCCCTCTTGTAGGTCTCAGCCTGGGTGGAGGCGGGAGTTATGCCCAGGTAAGGAGCCTGTCTTTTGGTTTGGAGGGGAGAGGATTCCAGGGGTATAGGAAGATTCCAAGGATGTGGGGCTTTGAGAAAGAAGCTCCTTGAGCCCCTTGCCTGCAGGAGAGCCCTAACCCTTCTTGCTCCAGCTCTGGCTGGCCAAGAGGCCATGACACAATTGCAGAACCTTCCAGGATTCCAGCTGCCAACTGTGGGTCCCACAAACCCTGCCTGTCTTTTAACACTTGGATGAACCCTGCCGGCCACACAGACTACAGATTTATCACTCTGTATTTTGCCCACCTCTCTCTCTCTCTTACACACACCACACACACACAAAGGCCTACAGACAGGTGGGCAGAGCCCTTCCACAGTGTTCTGTGTGGGAAGGAAGTGCAGGCCCCTGGCCAAGCCCCTGTCCCCCTTCCCCCTGCATGCAGCCACATGGAGCATCTCTGTTCTTTTTAATAACTTCAGAATAAAGTCTCGTTTCAGTGCAGTGGGCTGGGTGGCCGGGGAATGGGGTTGAAAGCCCCTCCCAGGTCCCCAAGGGTCCATTGAGCTCTCTTGGGTTGGCTTCAAGAATCCTGGACCTGTCTGGGCCTCCGGGGCCACAGTGCAGCTTGGTCGCAGGCCCAGTGGCCATGGGCCTGATGATATATCAGCTGTCAGAGGGTCAGTGGCACAGAGCTGGTGCAGCTTAGCAGGTCGTGGCTGTCCGTGGGCTCTGGGCTCTCCAGCATCTGTAGAGATACAGGAGGCTGCTGGGCCCACTGGGTCTGGCTGGGGTCTCCTCCTCCAGGACAACCCAGGGAGGGAGGTGGGGAGAGGGCAAAGGAGCATTACTACCTCCCGTGCAAGAGCCAGGAGTGTCCCCTGTTCAAGCTCAGAAGTCCTTTGCCCTCCCTCAAGACTATCGTGGGCCCTAGGAGAGCCAGATGTCAGCTGTGTGACTTAGCTGGGAGATCTGGCCTCTCTGAGCCTTCAAGGCTCTTCCTTTGGTCCTGGGGAGAAAACTTGTGCCCCAATTCTTAAAGTGTACAGGGGGCCCTGTACAAAGGGATGAGACCAACCAGCCTGGGTTCCCCAGCAGGGGCTGCCAGAAAATATGGAGTCAGGACTGTGGAAGGGACTTACCATGTGGTGGCTGCTTTTCCCCCACCAGGGTCTCAGGTCCAGCAGCTCGTGCACAAGTTGGGCACAGCGCACAGCAAACACGCTCTCTGCCATACAGAACACTAGCGAGATGGCCCAGAGGCACAGGCTGGAGCTCTGAAGGGCACAGGGGGCAGAGGTGGCTGCTTGGGGCTGGGGGTGGAGGATGGGACCCCAAGAGCCCTTACCACTGAGGGGCCGGGTGCACCCCATTCCAGGCCAAGGCACTCACGTAAATGCGTGTGGGATCGAAGGGACAGTCAGGCGTGAGTGTCAATAGCTCAGCATTCCCAAAAGTGCAGGGTGCCAGTAGTGCCCGGCCCTGGGTGGCAAAGGTCACGGCGATCGAGGCCAAGAGGCCAAGGGCACAGGTCAGAGAGAGAAGAGCACAGGCTACACTCGAGCTAAACACCGTCCAGCGCTGTATGGGGGAGGTCACAAGTCAGTGGACATTATGGCTTGGCCCTCAGCGGCAGCTCTGGCCTCCCTGATGGTCAGCTGTCCCCCTCCAAGCAGGCCAGGCCCTTGGAGTAACTGTTACCCCTACCCACAGCCCCATCCCAGGAAGTGCCACATACCAGAGGGGTGCTGGGGAGGTAGCGTGACAATGTGACAGCTGCAATGCCTGTGGTGATGACCTGTGGGGAGGCTTGAGTTAGCTCTGACCCCTGTATTGGAGGACCACAGGTGCAGGCCAGGACCACCCTGAATAAAGATTACACCAATGCTTTCTCTAGCCCGGGACCCCGTCACCATCTCCTGCTTAACTTTGGTCTCATTACCTCCATCTTCACAGAGGCATTGCTTCTTCGTGTCCCAACCCTGGAGTGATGTTTCTAAAAGAATCACTCTCTGCCTACAACCTTCTAGGACTACCCAGTGCCTACAGCTATGAGTGTCAAACAAGGACCTGTGTATCCCAGGCCTGCAGGGGCATGTCAGGGAGTATGCCAAGCCAAGATGCTGGCGACATCTCTCTCCAAATGGAAACGATTTCGTAAGAAACTAAGTAACTCAACTAGCAAGGAACTGAAACCAAAATTATTATATTAAAATGAACCAAGATACTTTATGAAGTAGAATTCAAAATCTCCAGGAGTATTTTTAATTGTTCCAGGCTCTCAGTTATCTGGCTCAGCCCATCAGCTTCTCAGCCCCACCCCGGGCCACAGTGCTCCCTCATTGTCCTGGATGTGGCCATCCACACAGCACCCTCACCAGGGACATCCTCTTGCTCCTCTTTTCTCCCCCTGCAGGCTTCCTAACCACCCTTGCTCCCAGAGGAGGACCGCCTGTGCACTGGCTCTTCTGGGCTCCCTTCAGCTTGTCCTACATCCCTCCTCTCACATTCTCTCGCTGTAACAGGCTTGGTACCATGGGGCTCCAGTAATGGCTTTAATTCACTGCGTAGCCACACTCAGTGTCTGAGCCTCTCTGAGCTAAGACCCACTCTGCAAGAGGAACTCACAGAAAGGATACTGGCATTGGTGTCAGACCCAAATAGGCTCAAATCTGGCTTGGCTTTTTATATCAAAAGATTAGGTGAACCTTGGAGACAATAATGGCCCCATGTTGCTGGGAGGGAGGAGGATTCACTAGGTAAATCAGGGAAAAAATGAAATAGTCCAGCCTGATGCTTATCCCTGTGGCCCTCCTAACCCTTTGCTCACGCCCTTCCCTGCCTTCCTCATGTGGCTGCTGAGCCAAAGACATTGACCACTGACTGAAACTCCACAGACATCACAGATAGCTGCACAGCCCAGCCCTGTTCTGCTGACAGAGCCTTTCCTACTTGCCGGGGTGAAGTTCACCAACCCCAGCTGCCAGCAGGCTCTCTGAGCTTTACTATGTAGGCAGAGACAGGTTTAAAGAAAGAGAGAGGCTCTCAGTCAGGAGACAGCAGCAAAGGAGCTCAGACACTTAGTACAGATGTTCCCCCCAGTGCTGCAGCACCTTTGCTGACAGCCAGGCAAGAGCTTCATAAGCCTAACAATCCTGGGACCCTTGTTTGTGAAGTCATCAGACGGGCTGATGTCCAGGCCTAACACAACTATCATTCATCCAGTAGTTGCCAGAGACCAGGCCTGATGCTAAGCACCTGCCAAATTGTTTTCCTGTGTCTCCAGAACAGATCTTAGCTATTTCCACCTCCACATGTCTGCACCTGCTATATTCTGTACATGGAATGCCATTCCAGCTTCCTTTCCTGCCTGCTAGTCCCAGCACGCCACATATCTGGGTCATTAATTGCAGTCCATCTGTGAACTCCTACTCATCCATCAATACCTTGATCAGTGGCCTCTACTTCTGTGAAACTCTCCTGGATCCTCTCAAGCTGACTTCATGTTCCTTCCTTCTGTCCCACAGTACTTTGAATATCTATGGTAATAACAATCCTAACTCACAGTAGTGCACGCTCACCGTGTGCCAAACAGTGTGCTAAGCACTTTGTATGGATAATGTCATTCTGCACTTGCAAGACCCTCTGAGGTGGATATTTTTCCCACCCCATTTTACAGATGAGAAAACAGAAGCAAAGACCGTTTGAGTGACTCGTATAGTTGCTAAGTGGTGTACTAGGTAGGGTTAGTGCTCTGGGCTCCCTGTTTACCCACCCAGGTTCTGGTGGGGACTCATCAAAGACCCTTTAAGCCCTTCCCTCCCACCGTCCCCCCCCTCCGCATGGGTACACCAACCCGTACCACAATGGCTGAAGTGACGGAGAGGATGTTGACCGTGCAGTACTGCAGAGCCACAGCGTCACGGGGGGCAGCCACGTAGCGCAGCACAGTGCCATGGAGGACGGCGGCCACGATGAAGCTCACATGGCCCAGCACCACCAGTACCAGACCTGTCTTCATCAGCACCTTCCGGAAGTCACCCACACTCAGGCCACCTGTGGGGGACAGCATGTCAGGGCCATGGCTGAGGCTCATCTTGGGCAGAGCAGAAAACCTAGCCTCCAGAGTGACGCACCTTGGATTCTAAATCTATTTCTGGATGTCTTGGCGCCAGTAACTTGTCTTCTCTGAACCTCAGTTTCCTCATCTGTAAAAGGGGCTCACCATTCCTTTGTGAGAGTCCTTGGAACTATAAAGTTGGAAAAGCACACAGGTGGCACTTTAATCCTTGCTAGTGCTCGAGGTTGTGAGCGGTGCAGTTCTAGCTCAGGACCCCAAGATTCTTCACTGATTCATTAATTCTTATGTTCATTACACAAATGTTCCCTGAGTTCCTGCTGTCAGGCCCTAGGGTGCCACAGTGAGCCTGACAGTTACTGTCCGGGTCCCAGGAGCCCATAGTTCATTGGGCAAGCATCAGGCCCTGTTCAGTATTCATTCAGTTTGGTAGATGGAGACTGGCACACCATAGGGACTTAACATACAACTGCTAAACGAAACTGTCTAGAATGTGTAACTAATGCAAGCCCCTGAACCTCCACTTCCTCATCTGTAGAATGGGAAGAAGAACCCTTGTCACTGGGTGGGGAAGAGGGTCATGTCACTTTCCTACCCTGGGAATACTGGGAAAAGCAAGTTCTTGGTGCAGGGGGGAATGGGCTTATCAGCACATCCCAGGAATAGGGAGCCCCCTCCTTAGGCAGCTCAGGCTCTCTGCAATGTCCCCTTTGGCTCCTGGCCCTGCTCTCAAGTACCGTACCATGCTGGCTTCCTGACCCTGTAAGTCCCTTTGTTCTAGCAGCTCTGTGAGACTGGAAGTGTGGTCAGGTTCCAGAGCTAAACAGCCCTTTCTTCCTTTAGCTGCTCGCAATAGGACTTGACTTGGAGCCCCTTTTAGACTCCAGTCTCCCCATCTCTGGCAGAGAGGGCTGATCATATTTTGTATGTGGGAGCTTTACAGCTGAATAAACACAAGTAAAAGAAAAAAGCTATCACTAGAATGGATGTGCTCAGGGAGCTGGGCCAAGAGGCAATCCAGAGGGCTGGAGGGATGGGGGCATTTAGTCACAGACTCTGCAGACCTCGCTCCAGCCCCTTGCCTCTTTGGGCCCCAGTATAAAACAGGAAGAGCTTGACTTCCCTGCTCTCTGAGACCCCTGGAGCCTGTAGGGTGTGGGACCAGGTTGGAGCAGAACAGCACAGAAGATTGGCAGGACAGGTACAGGGAACTGGAGTGGCCTGGAGAAGATGAACAGCTGGCCAGACAGGAAGGGGAACAGCAGCTTCCTTCCAGGGGCTGGACCCACCTCACCCCATCCACCCACCTACCTGGCAACCCAGACATCAATGGGCTCGGGGTTGGACTCAATAACAACAGCTTTCCAGGACCAAGGCTTTGGTCAGACAGGACAGTGCCGGCTTGGGCTGTACCTGGAGCATGGGTGCAGAGCCTCAAGGCAGTGCCTGGCTTTATTTCTAAGTTCCCATTCTGGGAACATTTAGCAATGGGGCTAAGCACTTAACACTTGGTAGCTAACTTCATCCTCATAGTAGTCCTAGGAGATGGGTACGACTGTCCATTTTACAGATGAGAAAACCAAGGCTCACAAGGTCTCTAGGCTAAGTAGTAGGGACTCCCTAGTGCTGTCTGATGCCCCAGATCAGCATCTCAGTGCCCAGAGAGGGAGAAGGGGCACAGGGTTTCCCTCCTCTGTCCCAGCCCTTCTCTCCTGGCTGTGGGAGAGCAGGGGATGGAGGGGGGACCCTTGTGAAGATCCAGAGGCCCTGCGCTCTGGATCCCGGTCCCTCTCATCTCCCTGCATCCCTTCTCCTGCCTGGGAGTCTTCAGGGCAGTCGTGCCCCTCAGCAAAAAAGGGAAGTGGGGGCAATTGGGCAGCCCCACTCCCTGCATCTCACTGCTGGGGAAACTGAGGCCCCTCAGTTCTGCCCCAGGCCACGAACTGAGTGCGTTCCGGCTCTCTCCACCCGGAGGAGGGTCTGGGCCAGCCTCCCGCCCCCCGCCGCTCACCGACGCGCAGACACATGTCGCTCCCGCCCGGGTCGCCGCGGCCGGCGTCAGCGGAGGCTCCTGAGGCTGCGGGCCGCCCGGGGACCCCGCTCCCATCCGCGTAGCCTGTGCGCCCAGCGGAGCCGCGCCGCGCCCACTTCCCTCCCGAGCGGGCTCGGCGCCCCGGCCGGCCTCCCTTCCCCGCACCCCCTGGGCCGCCCAGCCCCGACGCCAGGCAGCGCGTCCGCGGCCGGTCCGACCGGCTCCGCAGCCCTCGGCCTTCACGACTGAGTCACCGCCCCCGCCACGCCCCCGCGCCCCGAGCCCGCCCCTACCGCACCCAGGCCCATTGGACGAGTGGAAACTGAGGCTCGGAGGAGCTGCGATCGCCCGGGCTGTGTGTGTGTCTGCAGTGCCCATTGTGACCCTGTGGGCACCTGCCGGAAAAGCCCCCCGGATGGAGGCTGGGAATGCGTGGTGAAAGATCGCTGCCTGGGAGACTACGGTCTGCCCTTGACCTGCTGTGTGACCTCAAGCCAATCACTTCTCCTCCCTGGGCCTTCCTTTTATTGAGGAAAGAATGCTGCCGGGTCTGAGTCATGTCTTCCATTTTGAACAAGGTGCTTTGTTTCTGTTTTGGGGGTCTCTTTCCCTCCTGGGAAAACCAGGGAGAATACTTCCTGTCCTTTGAGGTGGTGATGAAATAAAATGAGACACAAAAATAAGATACGAAAACGCCTTAGAAACTCCCTTGGGTGGCTATTTGGGGGTCAATGGTGGACCCAGCAGGACATATAGCTGGAGCTTCACTGATGCTGGGTAATGGTTACTGGGCCGACCAAGCTGTCCCTTGTTTTATCATCAGTGTGGGAAGGAGGTCTGTTCCTGTCCCTTGGGTTCAGAGAGCTCAGGACCACCCTGCTGGAGCCTGAATTCCCACCCACATCTCCAACACGGCCAGGCTGTGGCTTTTTCCTGGATTCTCTGGGTCTTTGGAGCAGTCCTCTGGGAGGCACTTATTGTGTACATGGATGACGTCCATTCCCACTCTGTACCCTGCTTTGGTGGCAGAGGCTGGCCTTGCACACAGGTGTCCAGTGAATGTGTGCCTTGTTGTGTCACCTGGGTCTAGCTTCTGGAGTTTGGAAAACACATTAACATCAGGAAACGGTGTGGAGCCATTTCTCCTGGGAAGCCCCAGGCATCAGTGGCCACCACAGACCATGGGGGGACGACTGTCATCTGTTATCTAAAGGGAGAATGTGCAGTGGCGCATGGTGGGGAGACAGTCTTGTCAGGTAGAAGGGAAGATGGAAGCAGGTCATTAAGCCACTGAGCTGGCTCCCTTCCTGGCTGACATGATGTCACGGGGACCTTTTAGGAAGTACTTGGACAATACTTACCCACATTGCAAATGGCCGCACCCTCGTAATTGGGGCCTACCAGCTCCAATTCTAGGTCTTCATTCTATACCAAAGAGTGCAAAGGGATGCCTGCATTTAATGGTGTTTGTGGACCATGCAGCCATTCCTACCTGAAGTATTGGCATCCGTGATAACCAAGGTGTGAGGGGGCCTGCAGGAGAGCAAGGGAAGGGTTTGCTTCCCAAATTACACACAGCTGTATTGTTGGAGGCTTACAATGAATAGTTACTCGTGTCTTCTGGCCCAGCCACTTAGAGCTTTCTGATGGGGGAGCTCGCCTCCCAGGGGCTGCTCTGGAGAGCACGTCTGGTCACTGCAAAGCCAAGGTCAACTCTCAGGTGTGCAAGAGCCCATGGCTTCTCTATCTGCCAGTGTGGGACAGTGCCACTGACGCTGAGCCTGGCTGGAGCTTTCTGGAATTGGGCTTGGGAGCAGACCTTTTAAAAATGCCTTTGTTTCTGGAAACATAGATGGCAATTCTCTTTTTATTCATGGAGCAACCTCAAGAGCTAAAGACGATCATGAGACTATCATTTTATAGGTGAGAAAACTGAGATCCCACAGCATTTATCAAGGGTAGGACTGAGACTCAAATCTAGGCCTATCTGACCACAAAGGCAGCTCTTGGCTTCTGAGTGTGTACTGGAGCACCGGGAGAGACAGCGCCCAGGACTGTGCCTGTTCTATGGGGCCTCTGACAGGGAGAACTACTTCTACTTTCCAGACTAATTTTCCAACCATCATCCAACCTTAGTGGCCTGAAGTTATTGCCATTTCTTTTCCTTATTGCCACAGGGTCAAAGTCCACTAGTCCCAGCTAGCTGTGACCCTTGCCTCTGTCCCACCTCTGCACACTGGCCTGAGACTCCAGAAAGATCTCCAGAGCTTTAGTTCCTTATCCTCTGTCACCTTAACTGTGACATTCTAGCAGCTTACCACCATCTCCCGAGCCTTAGTTTCCCTATCTGGAAGGCTGGCTGGATTTCTGAGGCATTAGTGACTTGAATGATATGAAAATGGGTTGAAACCTAGCCAGAAAAACACAAGTAGTAATTCTCTGCTTTCCTGGAACATTTAATGACCAGGTGTGGCCCAGTGTATTTAAACTTGGTCTTAACAGTACTTAAAGTGGGGTGAGGCCTCCCTGCTGGTGTTCTGCTGGGGAGGTGGGTTTAGGCGTCCACTCTGTGAAACCCCTCCTGGTTTAAAAAAAGCCCTGGCCACCATTTTAAAAACAGTTCTTCCATGTAAATAAACTGCCACCATCATATTCTGTACATATGTGTGTACTAAAACCAAGCAGCCACACTTCTCTGAAAGGAGAGGACAGTTAGAGGGGACTTTGGCTATAGCTCAAAGCATTCCCTTTTTTTTTTAATAAAGAAAATATGTTTACCATTACAAATTGTGAGTGGTGTGAATTGGGGCATTTGTTGCACTATTTTCTTTCTTTTTTGTTGGCTTTTGTTTGCTTGCTTTTGTTTTGTTTGGTTAAGACAGGGTCTTGCCTAAGCTGGCCTCAAACTTGCAGTCCTCTTGCCTTAGCCTCCTGAGTGCTGGGATTACAGGCGTACACCAACATGTTTGGCTTTTTACATTATTTTCTAACTTTAACATTTCTAAAAAGAAATATGCGTTGCAGAAAACATAGGGGAAGATGCAGGAAAGTATAAAGAAGAAATCAGAAGGACCCGTCATCCTCCGTACCCTAAGGATAACCACCATTCAGTTTGGAGGGTTTTCATATGTGTTTTCTGTCAGCATATATACTTTTCTCCTCCTTCTCTATGACTCCTGCCACATGTCTCTACTGTCTCCCCTCCTCATTTTTATCCTCCCTGTCACCTCCCTATCTATCCAGGACTTGGATTTTTGTTCCAGTGTCCTGTTCATCCATGTGAATGACCCTTCAATACCTTCTCCGCGTTCCTCAGTGACCTTCCTCATGACTCTGGCCATCCCTTGCCAGGGCCACACCTTAATTAATGCCCTCTTGAAGTCTCAGCCTCTGGCATGGTCCAGAGGCCTCTCTGGTGGCCTGCCTGTGTTCTGACTTCCGCTGTCTCACTCCCCAAGTTTTGGATGCCACTGGCCTCCACAGCACTAGGCCTAAACCAAAGGTGAGCATCTGAAGGCCAGCTCAGTTGTCCTAGTGAGATGGGCCATATGGGGGACTCGGATGGGGGCCATGATTGTGGCTGTGGGGATGGAGGAAGGAGGGAGAGTTGGGGCATGTGACTCATTTGCACATTAAAATCTAAAAAGCACTGTTCTAAATCTCTCCCCTCCAAACTCCTCCAGGCAGCTTCTACAGCTCCAAGGGTCCCCACCCCACTTCCTCAGTCCATTGCAATGTGGCTTCAGAACATCCCTTGTTGAGGTCACCAGTGACTTCTAATTGTGTTAATCCAAGGAGGCATTTGGGTCCTACTAATTACCATTATCCATGCCCCCTGCACAGGTAGCACATGCCCCATTTTTCCTTCTGCCTCTGCTTGCTCCTTCCCAGTCTCTCTGTGGGATTTTGTCATCACCTCCACCTTTGGACATCGGCACAGTCCCTTTCTGTCTCCTTTATCATTCCCATTGGTTGGTTCAGTGCTTCCCTGACCCCAGACTAGGTAGCTCTCCTGAGCCTCAGGTGCAAACATCCAGTTACTTTCAAGCCATTATGTGGGCGGCCCACTGTCCTCCAAGTTCAACATGGACTGAATGACCACTTTCTCTTCCCCCAAATGGGATCTTTCCTTTAAGGTTGGTCTCAGTTGGTGGCATCATGATGGACCCCAAGTCAAAAATCTGGAAGTCCATCTTTTTTTGTTTTTTGTGGGATGGGTTTGAACTCAAGCCTTCATGCTTGCAAAGCAGGTGCTCTACTGCTTGAGCCACATCTCAAGCCCATTTTGCTCTGGTTATCTTGGAGATGGGGTCTCAAGAACTATTTGCTGGGGCTAGCTCAAACTGTGATCCTCCCAATCTCAGCCTCCCAAGTAGCTAGGATTGTAGATGGGAGCCACAGGCCCCTGATTTGAAGTCTTTCTCCTTCTTTTCTCCTTCTCCTCTTCCTCCTCCTTCTTTTGGCAGTACTGGGGTTTGAACTCATAGGCATAAGTCTTTGTGACCTTGGATCAGGCAATGTTGTTTTAGGTGTGACACCAAAAGCATAAGAAATAACAACAAAAAAGGTAAACGTAATTTCATCAGAATAAAAAAGTTAATTCAAAGGATACTATCAATAAAACAAAAAGATAGGCAACCAAACAGAGAAAATACTTGCAAATCAGGCATCTAGTAAGGGTCTAGTCTCCAGAATATGTAAAGAAGTCTTGCAAATCAACCACAAAAATATAATCCAACTAAAAATTAGGCAAGGCTGGGTGCAGTGGTGTGTACCTGTAGTCCCATCTACTAGGAGGCTGAGGCAGGAAGATCGGATCAAGGACAGCCTGGGCAATGTAGTGAGGCTTCCGTTTCAAAAAAAAAAAAAAAAAAAAAGCCTGCTCTTCTTCCTGTGACCTCACACCCTTCAGGTTTTCTTTCTTTTTTTCTTTTTTAAAATTTTTTATTATTCATTTATTCACATGTGCATACAGAATTGTTTGGGTCATTTTCC